TTCTTTGGTTGTAGAAGTTCCTCCTTCGGTTTATGAATCAGCACCCACTGTCCCGGCTGGATCTTATGGACTGGAAATTCCAAAGGAGTTGTTTGCGCCACCAAGCCTTCCTGTCAAAGAGAAGACAGAGACCCCAGTACTTGTTCTACATTTAGCTATTTGTCTCCCCCTTTGGGAGCCTTAACCCTTTATTAACCCTTTTACATATCAAACATCCCTCTGTAGCCCTTTGGGCTATCCCATAAATTACAAGGGTAGCATAGAATTTCAAATACATTTCTACCTATGCTTTAATTCCCCAATGATTCCCCTCATATAGTTTTTGGATCACCATTCTTGCAGTACCTTGTGATAACCACAGAATTCCCTTAATACCATTTTTATTGTTTGGTAATTATAAATCTACTATAGCCTCAATCCTTTTACTATCTATTTTCCTTTCCCCTTCAACTATAATATATTCTAGATATTTTACCTCCTTTCATACCAATTGGGCTTTATTTGCTAAACACCCTCAATCCTTTCTTCTGCCAAAAAGTTGCTTTCCCATTTCTTTATAATTCCCAAAATAAGATCTTACAAAACTGGGAAGCTACATAGAAATGTATTTGCTTCCACATCTTAAAAGTGGAAGAAAGAAAAGAAAGAAAAAATAATAATTTGTCCTGTATCAGATAGACTATACTTGTCCATGGAAGCTCTATCAAAATTGTCACATTTTTCTTTCTCCTCCCCCTTTCACCCTGATTAGATACCATGTTACAAAAATATAACTCAATAAACTTATTGTAAATAACACATTCAGGATTTTAAAAGGTAAAGCACATAGGCTCACCAATTAGCATTGCGCCAACATTTCTGGAATGCCTTTTGTCTCAGGCAGACATCAAACAGGATAGCTAAGAAGACAAAAGATTGTCTCCCCCTCCCCCCACTCACTAAACCAGACAGAGTAAAAATTTATACAAAACGTTTGCTTGAAACAGCCCTCAGGAGGAAAATTGCCATAACATTTACAGAAGTGGCTTGCCAAAACCTCTCTCCTAGGGCTGAACAAAAATAAACCAGCCCCAAAACACTCAGCCAACCCTCATGGCTAAAGCAGGATTTGAACTCAAATCCAGCCTTGCAGCCTGTGGCTATAACCCTGAAACCAAATTGGTTTTCTATAAAGATTTCCCTTCCCCTCCTTGGCTCCAAGGAAAAGGAAAACAAATTGGACACACACAGTATGCAACAATTAATCATCCTTTTTTTTGCAGTAGCAAGTAGTCCCAAAGACACGTATTTATCAGATGTTAAATAAAACATCATAAGATTGTTCCTTTGACAAGAATACCCTCAAATGCATTATTAAGGATAAATCCAAACTAAAATGCAAAGGAAAATCACTGAAGCATGCCACACATACAAAAACAAAATATCAGAGTTGGATGGGACATTAGAGGTCCTCTAGTCCAACCCCTTACTGAAACAGGAAACTCTATCCATTTCAGACCCTATCAATTTCTAACCTCCTCCCAAAAACTTCCAATAATGAAGCATCCACAGTTTCTGGAGACAATTATCCCACTGATTAATTATTCTTACAGTCAGGAAATTTTACCCAATTTCTGTTCTTTAAAAACAAACAAACAAACAAACATGCAGACAGAAACTGCCTCCCCCTCCTCTTTCTTCTTTTCTTCTTTTTTCTGCATCTCTTACTTTTCCAAGGCAGAAATTCTTGGGTTAAAAAAAGTAACAAACTAAACATGTTTAAAAGGATTGCTCAAAAATTTCACCCCCCTTCAATAGCCCTTCCACCATGGGCTTTAAACCCATTCTTCCTTCCAATGTAATGTTATACTGTATCTGGTGAATTACTTCATCAGGGTTCTTTAAAGTCACCTTTAAAGGATCCATGTGTACCCCTCTTCTATTGCCCTCTTGGGCCCATATAAGAGGGTCCACGTTTCCTTGAGCTTCCTCACTCAAGGTCATAATATTTACAATTATTTCTCTTTCATCCCCCATAATAACAACCCCCAATTTACCAATTAAGTACCCCCTGGCCAAATTGCAGGTCCCTTTAACCAATACAAAGTTCAGGTCCTTTTACTACTGTCTGGACCATAGCAAGTTTAAATATTGTTGCTTCTACTACATGTCCATAATTGCCTGATCCTTAATCTTCCCTTTCCCAATTTGCATTCCTGGAGGTATATAGTTCAGGGTAAATCTGGTGGCTCCAGAATCCACCGAGTACACCCTTTCCTCCTCCAGGGATCCAACCTTTAAGGTTTATCAGGGGTTCCTAAAAAGCTGGAACAGAATACAGATTAGTCCCCTGATGCCCCTAATCCTCAAAATTCACCAAATTTGCTAGTTCTTCCCCCTCCTTCCTCTTAGGGCATTCATTTTCCCAGTGTCCTTCCTCCTTACAAAAGGCACATTTATTTATTTATTTAAGTACTGGGGAAAATTTTTCTCTTAGGGATTTATATCCCCTGGTGCCAATTAGCTGTCCTCACCCCCAGCCTGCCTTACTGATTTCCTGATTACTCTTCCCCATCCTCTTTGCTGGCCTGTTTGCAACAATTGAGCCATCATTTTTATCTTTTCTTACGTTTATCTCTCTCCTCTTCTCTCTTCGCATATACTTTCTGAGCCTCTTTTACCGGTAATAAATCTTCTATTTTAGTTTTCCATGTGTCTAATTTCTGCATTTTTACCCTAATACCTTCCCATGATTTCCATTGGTCCTAAAAACATTTCTAACCTGTTTTCCTACTTCAATAGGATCTTCTATTAGTTTGGGCAATTCTTTCCTAAATTGTCTGATTTCAAAAACTGTTAGGGGGGACAATTCCCCCCCCCCCCTTGGAGAGGGGTTTTCCCCTCTCTTGTCACCTTCCAAACTATAGGAACCTCAAGAAATACATAGCTTTCTACTTAATTCTTTCACACAAAATAGCAGATCAGAGTTCTCACCTTTCATCCTGGCCAGGCATAAAACTTCACACAGCTCCTTTCTTTCTCTCTCTCCCCCTCTCTTCTATCTGATTATTTCCATTCTTTTAACACCTTCTATTGTCCTTCTAATTACTAAGAAACTAGCCTTCTTCACCCTTTCTTGCATTTACACCAGACAAAAAATTCCAAATTCTTCACCCCAGGCAAAACAATCATTCTTATTTTCAAGGAGCTTTTTCAAAGCCAATGAGCTCCATTTCCCAAATTTCCTTTTGTAATAAGACCTTGTTGTTTTTGTATATTACTGTTAGAGGGTCTCTCTCCCCCCTCCCCCAGGTCTTTAGAAATGAGTCAATACAAACACACAAACACACAGACCCTTAAACATCATTTCCACTTTAAATTTCCACTTTTACTCTCTTGGGGAAACTTGTAGCTTGTTCTCCAGGCAGTGGGGAAATGCAAGGAGCGTTTCTGATAGACCTTAACCACTGCCTATCCATTCCCCATAGCTCTAAGCCAAGCTGAGAAGCCCAATTTAATTTATTGGCTGGCCAAACATGTACTTAGGCCAGGTATAACAAATGCCTTGTTTAAAGCATTGACTTAAAATACTTCAACATTCTCCCTCCCTAAGGGGGTTCATTCCAGAATGTAAATACCTTTCCTCTTTTTCCTTATTGGCCGGCACACTGGCCGGGGAGGCGTCCCTCCTCTTCAAACTCTTATTGCACATTAATACCCCTCTGATATATAGATACCCCTCTGGTATCTTACCTGTCAAGCTGAGTTGAAGTCCTTCCTTAGGTCGGCTGACTTTCCCTTAGGTTTTCACTGGGTCCTGGCTTTTTGTCTCGGGATTTCCAATTCCTCCTTGTTTGAGCAGGGGCAATCCGACCTTTAGGGCTGGGAAAAACTTACCCAGGTGCGCACTCCCCTTTTGAATATCCCCGGCTGCCAAAGATGGAATGGATGCAAATCCCGGAGGAGCCCCCAAGGCTGTTATGTGCTCCTGGCTACTTTCCTTCGTGACCAGAGGCAAGCTCGCCTGACCAATAACCAGCCAAGACACAGTGAAGGCCTTTTGTTTCGTTTATTGCAATAAGCGGGGAGAGAAGCTATCAAAGCTTGGTTCTCTCCAAAGTTTTAACCCAAAATATCTCCTTCTTTTATTCATCCCTATCACCGGCCGCTCCATCCCTCCTCTTTCCCCATTGGCTGAGGTACTATGAGGTTACACTCTTTCCGTCCGCCTATGCACATTTCCTGATAACATATTAAATCATATTCACATATACAATAAGAATAAGAAAAAATAGACATTTAAATTATTTTAAACTCAGCAGATATTTATGTCCCCATTTTAAACAATAAGTTCTTTTCCTGCTTTTCAATTCAGTGTGCCTTTTCTCTTATCTTATTCGGCTTATTTTCCTATTCTCCAACCTGTATTTTCCTGGCTAGCCATTTCCTTTTACAAATATATATAGATTTTTATGGCTTCTCTTCTTCCTTTCTCAGACCCAGCTATTTTTGCCTATTTGTTTATCTTACTTCCTTTATGTTATATGTTATCTTTTCCTGACTCTCACCATTTGTAGGTTTAACTGACTCTGAAGATTTATCATATTGATGCATATTTATCAAAAACTACAGTCCAGAATCTCTTTCGCACAAATAAAGCTGTATGTGGAACATTTTCTACATTTCTTCTAGACTGGTGTTTCTCAAACTCGGCAACTTTGTGATGGGTGGACTTCAACTCCCAAAATTCCTGGCTTTGGCTATTAGGTTGGGTTATGTCACCTGTTCTTTGTTGTCCCTCACCTTTCCCCCTCCTCCCCTTTAATCTTAAAAGTATCTAATTGCTTCCATATTTTAAAATTTCCTTTGTTTTACATTGTTTGGAGAGTTTTTCATCTAGTTAAAGAGCTTAACTTCATGAGATGGGATTTGTCTCATCTATGTCATCCAGACTTTGTCTTCCTGCAAATCAAATTCCATTTGAAGATTAAGGTTACTGCATCTCTCATGCATCTTTATAGCTTGCAAACAAAGCACGGATGGAGAAGGAAGAAAAGCTGAGCCAGGCGTATGCAATTAGTGCTGGGGTCTCTTTGGAAGGACGGCAACTATTCCAGACTATACACAAGACGTAAGTAGAGGAATTTTTACAGATATAATATACTAGGAGTTAACTTTTGAGCAGAAATTGCTATGGAGTATGTTTATCCCTCCCAAACACTGTGATCCCAGCAAATGCAAGAGGATGTTAATTTGGTTTTTCTTTCAGTTTGCTTGAAAACCAAGAGCTTGGAAGTAAATCTGAATTTTTTGCCCACTTTTTGTGATTCAAGTTGAATATGCTAGGTGGATTATTCTAAACCCAGATAATTTGAATTGTTATGGTGGCTATTTGGTAGAAAATAATATATGATTATTTGCTGGTGAACTTATGTTGGTGGTGTGAATTTTGCTTCACGAAGGCTTTACTTATTTTTATCACACAAACTTACTTTACACAAGTCACACACATCCAAATCCCAGTGTATATTCCAATTATTTTTGAGATGGAATAGTACTTCCAAAGAGTTTAAATTTATTCAATAATAAAAAACAATTATATTGAATCTAATATATTGTGAAAGGTGCACAGCTGCTCATTAAAAGAATCTGCTTATAGCTAAAATACCTGTTATACTCTTCCTCATTTATGATTCTGATGTTAAATCTGTTTTTTACAAGTCTAAATACATTTTGAGTAAAACCATGCAACAGCATTTAAATATCATGCTAAGCCATTATGTGGTTTGTTTGATTTTGATTTAGCACTATGTGTGAAGTAAGTCCTTGTTTATGATTTAGGTCTGCAAATACATATTGTATGTACAAATTTAATCAAATTTCATTGACAAAACCATAATTTAACATGATATGTGAACCTAAACTGTATATATCTAAAATTAATAAAGTTCAGCATGTACAGATGTTTAGTTGATTTAAAAGATGTTAATCTTAATTGAAGGTTGTACACTGATAAAAAATAAAAATTAACAGTGGCTTTTTTGTAAGATTATATACTTCAAAACACTCAGAGCAAATTCACAGTAATGACAAACTAATATGGGAATGTTCAGAAGTAGGCATTACTTCTTGGGCTAAAAAGGAAGTCATTGGACAGATGATCACAAGAACAAACAGCACTTTCCTGTTCCCTTTTTCCATTACAAATGGCCATGAATTTTCATTAGTGAAGCCAATCAAGTTTCTCTGTCCTTCCTCCAGTATTAAAGATTGTAAATGGCAAGAGAAGAATATAGTCGTGATGGAAGAAGTTGTCATTGCCCCTCCATACCAAGTGGAAAACTGTAAAGGCAAAGAGGGGAGTGCCCTAAGTCATGTACGCAAAATAGTAAGTATTGTATACAATGGTCAGAGGGCTGTCAGGGAAAAGAGAAAATGGGGTTCAAAAAACAGCCGCACAAGCAAGCTTCACCTTGATCATACAGATTCAAAAGTGAATTTGAACTGAATTCACATATCTTGCTCAGCCATTATATGGCTTGTTTTGATTTTGGCATGTGTGTGAGCCCAGTCACCATAATTCATAAATACTGGCTTATACTTATTATATTCTGTGAACTCAAACAATTGTGGTTGATTCAGTAATAATGCTTTAGCAGACTATGATGATGCAATGTATGATTGTAGCCTTCATATTGTCAAGCTCAGGCCCAGAGACAAGACAGTGAGATCCAATCAAGTCCAATCCTTTATTTGCTTACACCTAATAGATTCTTGCCAAACTAAAGGTATAACTTTCTAAGCTACTAGATACATCTTGAGAGATTCTAGGTCCAGGATGTGATTCCCCTAAACCTCTTCCCCTCCCCAGTTTTGCTCGGGACTGTATACTTTCTTTATCTTGGTCTCCTTCTGGGAATGGTCTGAACTGGCAAATCTTCCTCCTCTTCTGATGCAGATGCACATTCCATCACACATGTGCCTCAAGCAGTAAAGGTAGTCCTTGACTTATGATTGGTTGTTTAACAACAGTTTGGAGCAGCGGTGTCAAACTGCTGGCCCGCGGGCTGGATGCATCACCAGGAAACCGTGCCCACCCCATTGCCGGCAATGGAGAAAAAGCTCTGATACGTTGCGCGACGTCACATGACGTCGTGAGTTTGACATGTCTGGTTTAGAGTTACAGTAGCAGTGGAAAGGGTGCTTTACAGCTTATAAAGCACTTCAGCTGTTGTAAATTGTCTCTCACACATCCTGGTGGTTACATGACTGCATTTTGGGCACTTGGCAACCAGCTCACATTTACAACTGGTTTCAGCATCCTGCACTCACATAACCATGGTTTGCAACATTTTTTGCTACTTTCCAGCAAAAAACACCTATTCAGGAGAATGGATTCCAACTTACGATTACATGATTCGCTTAACAGCTGTACAAACAATCACAAAGTCAGTTCTGGTCATGTGGGTGCCTAGACTTGTGACTGTCGCAACTTACAACTGAAAATCCAGTCCCAATTCTGGTCATAAGTTGAAGACTATCCCAAAGGTACTTTTTCACAAGGCAACTGGACTTGTTTTTCTTTGAAGATGTTTCGCTTCTCATCCAAGAATGACATACGTTGCAGGAATATCGGAAAAGCTCAAGAGGATCTTTAGCCAACACAACATACGTGCACACTTCAAACCCACAAATACACTAAGGCAGAAGCTTGTCCACCCCAAGGATAAAACACCCAGACACAAACTGAGCAATGTGGTATATGCATTACAATGCAGTGAGCCATGTGCAGATCTGTACATTGGGGAAACAAAACAACCACTTCATAAATGCATAGGAGAACAAACCCATCAGGACAAGCTTCAGCAGTCCATCTGCATTTAAAAGAGAAAGGCCGCTCTTTTGAAGACAGCAAAGTGCACATTTTGGACAGAGAGGACTGCTGGTTTGAAACAGGGGTCAAAGAAGCCATCTATGTCAAAATTGAACAGCCCTCTCAACAGAGGGGGCGGAGTATGACATCTATCTCCAGTCTACAACACAGTCCTTTCAACAGTTCCAAGAAGGCTCCACACCCATTTGCACTACTCAGGTGACCCTGACGACAGATAAACCTCCAGGTGCCCTCAACGACTCTCTAAAAGAATACAAATGACCAGCTGTCTGCAAGGAGTATAAATCCTTCCATTCCCCACCATCCAGTCAGAGCTGAAGAAGCTTCTTGGATGAGAAGTGAAACGTCTTCAAAGAAAAAGTCCAGTTGCCTTGTGAAAAAGCACCTTTGGGATAATTATGACCTGGATGACTGAGAATCTCCATAGACAAGTTGAGGACAACTGTGACTTTTTTTTAAGTAAATGCCTTCTCAAACAAGAGGCAAGTTTAAATCCAGATGATTAAAGTGGTAGTTGTATTTGTAATATAGAATGGAACTTCACAATTCTACAGTAGCAGAACTGTGAGAAATATCTGTGTGTTCTATTTGAAGTTTTATATAGAGATATGTTCTGTATGTCAGATACAAAATCTTTTGGTATAATTTCCTCAATATTTTTCAGTATTTGTAGTGGAACACAGACATTCTCTGTTATTAATTAAGGCAAATGCCTTGTTTTTTCCTTTAGGTATTGTATTTTCTTCCTTTAAAGCAGGGGTCCCCAACCCCCGGGCTGCGGCCCACTACTGGACCGTGGCCTATTTGGAACTGGGCTGTGTGAGTGGTGGGCTGGTGTGCATGTACGTGTAGGTCGACTTGTGTGAGCGGCGGGCTGGTGCGTGCACACACGTGTGCAGCTCAATTTGAGCAAGTTGAGCTGCATGCATGTGTGTGCCAACCCACCAGTCACAAGTTGAGCTACGCCTGCTGCTCATGCAAGTTGAGCTGTGTGTGTGTGTACGTCAGACTGCTGCTCGTGTGGCCCAGTTTTTTCCCCCCACAGCCGGGCCGCCAAGCCGCAAAGGTTAGGGACAGCTGCTTTAAAGAAGAAAAAATCTTGACTCCCTTTTACAGTTCATCAGTGACCCTCAATTTCAAACTGTGCTGTAAATCGTCATCTTGCATTCAGTATTTCCAACCTCATCAACCACTACTTTTCATGAGCATAGCAACAGTCCCACTAAGACAAGTGCTAACTTCTTTGCCTCCTTCTTCAACCAGGTCGAGAAACATTTTAGAGATGTCGAAAGCCAAAAGGTGATGCAGCGTTCACAAGTCCAGCCAACACAGAAGGAAAGCGCCCTCTCATCCTGAGTTCCACCTGCCCTTCCTGGTTGCGACAGATTGCTCCTGTGGGGGTGGGAGGGTGGGGGAGCCCTTTGAACATGCAGCAGCAGATGAGACGTCCTCAAAAGTGGGCAGGGAGGTTCCACTTCTATGTTGTGGCTAGCTTGTAATGATGGGACCCACAGTTTCTGAATTTTAGACTTCAAAGACAAAAACAAAATAATAATGTAAAAACTCATTCATTACTTGACTAACGGGCTCTTTACTTTTTGCTCTCCAGGTTTACCCCGAGATCAGTCAGCTGTCTTGTATTTGAGGTTTTTTTCCCTCCCAGATTTTTTTTCCTGCTTTACTGAAATAAATTCCATGCCACCCCTTTTTCTGCTGTATGCTAGGAGAATTCAGCTCCTTAGTTGTCCTATTAAAAAGAAAAAATAGAGGAAACAAAATAACGAGCTGACTGTGGTGATGTAATTAGGACTTGTCTATGACTGGCAATCTCATTTGGTTTTTGTTTGCACCGGACGAGGCTTGAATTAGCCTTATTTTTCTTATCTTGAAATACATATATAATAAATATCTATCTCTATATTTATATCTCTATATATCTATTATTGTGTGTTTGTGTATGTATGTATGTATGTATGTATGTATGTATATCTCCTTTAAATATTTTTCTGGTTCTTGCAGTACTCAAAATTGGGATCATGGCAGAAAAAAATCTCTATGCTTGTTAACAATCAAGCCTTCTGCAGTTGGCATTTTTAGCTTGGGCTTCAGTGGGTCAAAACCTATTGAAAATGCATACTTATGGTACAAGCTTCTCCCATTTGGTCTTTGCACTAAGTTTTACCTTGCACATTATGTTATATTGCCACAAATCTGTGTTCTACTAATACCACTGGATTAGAACTGCTAACCAACATTACAGATGTAGTGGATAATGAGTCTGTTGAAATCATTCTGTCCTCAAAGACATGAACAGTAGATCTCATAACTTCCTCTTGGTCATGTGCTGTTCTGACCACAGTGAAGAACCCCAGGATTTTCTGTAGGTAAAGGTTGCTTGAGTGAAATGTAAAAAGCATCTGAATTGGCAGGATAATAGAACAGCCTCAGTGGGATTTTTCCCTGTAGCATAGAAAAAGCATCTTCCCAGTGTTGTGTAGCTGTGTCCATGGCATCTGCAGAGGGACAAAGAGAAGTAAATAACATGTGTTCTGGTGCAAATGTACATGTTACCTGCGTAAGACATCACGATGCAAGTATATCATCTGTATGTCACATGACACATGTTTTGATGTCATGGCTTATTGTGGATAGTGCTGGCTGCATCACTGTTAAAAGGACCGGTTACTTCAGTTTTTTGTTTAAAGATGTTGGAGATCAGGCACAGTAGCTGTAGTTCTGGGGATCCAAATATGATTTATGCAATAATCTCTGTCCTGGCTTGGAGACGCTGTCCCAAAAGTATAGCTTTCAGCTAAATTGTTGAAATGTTCAGCATTTATATGATTTGCTTCTCCTGGACTTGCTCTCAGGGTCCTTCATAAGTATCCTTGGTTTGGAAATACATTTTTGGAAGATAAGTGGGATACAGAGATAACAGGATGGAGGGTAGCTGTTGGGTTGGGAGATGATGGATGGATGGATGGAGAGAGAGAAAGAGAGTTATTTTTAAACAAATGGGTGAAATTTTAAATAATTCAAGCCCTGCTTTGCAGTATGGAGGGATGTTTTTAGCATTGTCTAGCATAACCAATAAAAACCCAGAATATTTTTAACCATCAAACAAGCATTTGTGTTGGTGGGGTGTCTTTAAGGGTGCAGGTAGAGGATGTTGGGCGGGGGTGGAGGAAGGATTCTACAGAGAACTGGAAAACAACAGACCATACTGCTTGTTGAATTGGGAGGATACATTCTGTGCAAACTGGCATGCTAACTTGTGCACTCTCATGTTCTGTTGGGTGTGCCACCAGGAGAAGGCCGGGATATAAATACAATAAACTGAAACTGAAACTGAAACATATTTCTCCATCAGTTTTATATTTCTATGAATGAGGTATGTTGCTGGATATTTTTGTAAAATGTGTGAGTTAATGTTTTTGATGGTTGCAAGACAGTGCAACTTTAATATGGATGAAAAGCAGAAAAGAAAAGCTTTATGAAACAAAACAAACCCTATGCATTTGTTCATCTACAACAAGCACTGAAATGATATGGTGGAGTTGTAGACATTTCTTCAGATCATATAGATAACTTTTCATTTTGATAAATTGCCTCAAAACATTCTAGTTAGAAAATTAGAATGAAGTGAAGTGGATATGTAATTGGCTCAAAAATACTCAAAAGTGTTCATGATTAGTTCCTTGTTAAACTGGGGTGAAATGGCACAATTATATACAACTTTTATTAGCCACTTGAATGAAGAGGTATAGAGAATGCTAACTGAATTTTTAGATGGCACAAAAAAGAGAATCCCACAAGACAAATGTTTTTGATAGGTTAGAGAAGCAGGCTAGAAATACTAAAATTGGAGAAGTGCAGAGTTCATACAAAGATAGAATAGCTAGCTAGGTAGTGATACTTAACTGCAGAGTGAACATGAGTCTGTTGTCAAGGTTCTGACTGATGATCCCAATGAAGTAAGCACAGCTGAGACATTCCAATCTCTAATGCAAAACTTCATTGAGCACTGATGAATAGAAAACCAGCTCTGGCGAAAATGGCGCCAGAGCAGTAAATTAAAAGTGAAGAACCTCCCTTCCCCTCTGATAGTGCAGGTCACATTCCCCAATTACTATGTTTCCCTGAAAATAAGACCCGGTCTTATATTTTTTTAGCCTCCAAAAGAGGCACCAGGTCTTATTTTCGAGGGATGTCTTACCCACTTACCTTCGGACCGCCACAGCCAGGCCTCCCATGCAATGACACGTCGTGCAACAAGCCACGTGGCCTGTCACAATTGGTGGCAGCGGCGCAATGCGCCACGTGACGTGTGGCCACAAGCAGCTGCAGAACTCAGGCAGCAGCGCAACAGGTGTCGGGGCGTGGGAGGCCTGGCTGCAGCGGTCCTAAGGTAAGCAGGTGCGGAGTGTATGGGGCAGCTCCACCCCCCACCTCGCCCTAGCTTGATTTTTACCCGTGTGCCAAACTAGGGCTTACTTTGGGTGTAGGGCTTAGATTAGGCGCATGCATAAAAATGAAGCTAGGGCTTATTTTCGGGGTAGATCTTATTTTGGGGAAAAACATGGTAAGTGTCAGACATTTGTTATAAAAAATCTTCAGTTCCCAGCCAAATTGTTCTCCGATGACCTTGGTTTCCAGGCTGGACTGTTTACAGGTACGCTGAGCATGCCAAACATCCCCCTCCCCCCTGCATCTGTTGGCAAGCTAAGAAACAACAATGGCTGAAGCAGAATAAGTTTCTTTGGAGTTTGACATCTGTGCTGTAACGTGACTGCAAAGCAATGCATTTTTATATTGTATCAGAAATATTTCCAAATCATAAGACGTAATTGTTTCATTTTACTCTGGTTGGACTCCACCTTGAGTACTATGTCTAGTTCTGGGCACCATATTTTAAGGATTCAAGAGAAACGAACATATTCAGAGAAGGGCAGTGATGATCAGGGATTTAGAAAGTAAGTCCTATGGAGAGAAGTTGAAGGAATGTGTGCCCCGAGAAAGGTAGAAGCAATAAGATAGACTTCTTTATGGTTGAAAGGATGCCACCCAGAAGAAGGTCAAGCCTTATTTCCTGTCATTCTAGAGTGTAGGACATTAAAAAATGGAATTGTGTTCCAGGAAGGTGGATTCGAACCAAAAGTTTTTAAAAATTGTACCAGCAGCTTGACACTGGAGTAAATTATCTAAAATAGTGGTGCACCCTCCTTGCTGGATGTGTTCCAGTGGGGGCTAGACAAACATTGTTCTAGGATGTTTTTGGTTACCTGTGTAGAGCAGGGGCTCTGATTCTCTGTTGGGGCCTGCATATGAAGTGCATAGTAGTTTATTTCGTGTCCGATCTTTATACTGCTTTTTTGCTGACAGACCATCAATGCATTTTTTAAAAAATCAATTAGTTTCTTTAAAGCCATTTAAATAACTATCAGTTGTGCTTGCTTGTTGAGGGCATACTGTAGTAGGTCTTAGCTCTCCAGAAGTGAGCTTGGTTCAGTTTCACTGTTGGTTTCACTTCTTCTGTGCCAATGTAGTTTATACAGTAAGGTTTTATACTCTTGGTAAAATAATGTCCCAGGAGTCTTTTTCTGGATTCGCCAACTGGACAGTTGACACCCAGTTCATAAGCCATTAAGCTATTGTTTTATAGTTAAGAGCTGTAGTTTGAGATGTTTTCTTACATGTTTGCAATTAAAATGAAAGTTAATTTTAAATTGTATATAGTTACAAGTGGTAAGTGAATATTAAGTAGTAAAAATAGAATAAGAGTGTGAAGAGAGGAGAGAATCCTACCATGGAATACAAAAAAATGCATATTAACATGTGAATCTTGATTTTTTTCCTCAAGGTAAACTGCTTATTTTCCCAAGCTGCACGGTGGCCTCTTGAATAGGGTCTGAAAAGCAAACTTTTCATGGTCTCAAAGACTCCAGGCCTTTCTTTGTTTTTCCCATTGAACTAAATATATCATTTTCCCCTACACCTTTACATTATTATAAAATGTCACACATAAACTGCCACCATTTCAAAATAAAAATGTAGATGACTCTGTCTAACATTTGGGATAGTGAAACTTCAGACAACAGCTGAACCCAATTGAGCCAAAATGCATATTCCAAATCTTGTGTTTTACTTCCCTCTTTTATTAACACCCCCCCCCCAATTGAGTCAGAAAGGAGCCAGAGCCTGCTTTCTCTTCTCAGCTCTTAAGAATGCTTCTGCCCTTGTTTCCATAACAACTTTTGAATATTTCCTTTAAGGCCATCTCCATGGGGCTCTACACCAGCAAAGCAAAATGAAAGAATAACATGTAAAAACATGGAATACTAAACAAAATGACATGTATTGAGGGCATATAAGTCACCAAATTCAGTTGTTGATGGGGATGGG